CATCTAGTCCACGCTCAAATCGCCTTTATCCAGAAATTTCTAGTTCATTTTCCACTTATTCTCCAACCTATTCTCCAGTCTACCCACAACTTCCTGGGATAACAATTAGCCCTATCCACCGTAACCAAGAAGAAACAAATTTTGACTAAACAGAATCAAGAGATATATTAGAACAAGATCCTCTTCCTAAACAAACTAATTTAACACCTCCACACGAATCAGATAGTTCAGATACTGATGAAGAAGAAAATATGGGTGATTTACAAACTGCTGCAACTGCCATGACTAGATTGGCTGAAGCTATTGCTAGAGGAGGAGGAGGAGAAAAATCTCTTATCAAAATTAAGTCATTTAAAGGAGATGGTAATGAAGATCCTGTTGATTAGATTAATAAATTTGAACGAGCTGCTACGGCTAATAATTGGGGTGATGAAAGAAAACTTGCTATTGCTAAAGCTTACATGCAAGATAATGCAGAGGAATAGCTAAAAGGCCTAGCTGATGGTGTAATTGAAATGTATGATCATAATGATCATGACGATGACAACAAGTTTAAAGTATTGTTCTTAAAGGAATTTACAACTCCTAAGAAATTAGCTGCCTAGCAACAAAAATTTTTTGACCTAAAACAAGAAGCTAATACTGTAAATACCTATACTGCTCAGTTTAAGAAACTAAAAAAGAAAGTAAATCCAGATCCAGCCCATGCCTTCCCTAATTCCTTCATTGTTCAACTTTTTATCAAAGGATTGCGGTCAGAATATGCAATTCCTGTTCAGGCATCAACTCCGGAAAATTTGGATGATGCAATTGCTTCTGCTAAACAATGGGAAACTGGAAGATTAATGGCCTCACCAGGAGATCCAGTAATGGATGCTATTCATAATCTTACTAGCCGTTTTGACAAATTAGCTATTAATATGGTTCAGCAACAACCAGAACCACAACCCAAGCCTGCCTATACAGCCAAAAGAGAGTCTAGTTCTTCTCGTCAATACAACTCTAACCAGAATAAAGCCCTTTGCTATTATTGTGGTAATCCAGAACATTTTATTGCCGACTGTAGAAAAAGAAGAAGCAATAACCAAAGAAATAGGTATAACAGAAGGAGAAACAATAACAATAATAGAAGAAACAACAACCGCTATAGTGACAATAGAAGAAACAGAGATAGAAGCCAATCTCACGATAGAAATTATAGGGACCAAAGTCAATCTCATGACAAAAATTATAGGGACAGATCCAGAGAAAGAAGTCAAGAAAGATGAAGACCAAGGTCTAATCGTTCACCATTTTCCTACTATCGAAATGTTAATATAGTTGAAAAGCAACCTGCCTCTAATTCTAACAATTAGGAAAGATTGTTAGACAACTACTCTATTAGAACTGCTCTCACTACCTATATTACTGAAACCAACTGGGAAAATACCAAACCCCAGCCTATTAATACTATTACTCCTGTTAAATGCTATATCGATATCTAGGATCGAACCTACCCTGCTATTATTGATAGTGGAGCCTCTGTCAGTATGATCTCACACCAGACTGTAAAAGAACTTGGACTAAAAATTGAAGAGCCATCTAAGAG